GAAATGGATCCTTTTAGGAAAAATCTCTCAAAGCTTTGCATGTTCTGCAGGCTCTGAAAGTTGCAACTATAGAAATAGCTCATGAGACAATTGTAATTGGACATGGAAAAATATAACAAAGTTAAAATTACAGGCCTCTTGTGTTGTCTATATGTTTGTGTATGTTATATGTTTGTGTATGTTATATGTTTGTGTATGTTATATGTTTGTGCGTCATGTCCAATACACTACGTTGACCTTAACAAACTGGACCAATACTAACGTGGGGTGTTGTGAGTGTGTTGTGAGTGTGTTGGGGAGTGAACGAGGAGTGCTGAACGGAGAATGGAATAACAAAAGTTTTCTGTAATGTTTTAATGTGATCATGGAATAATTATTTTTTGTCAACAGCATACGGTGTAAGTACTAGAGATTCAAAGATGACAAGCTTTATTGAACAGGTGTAAAAGTGAGAGTACTCTGGGATGAGTACTCTGAGAAAAGTACTCTGCGGAAAGTACTCTGAGATGAATACCTTGCTGAAGGTACTGGGAGCCCCCCCTCTGCTGTTTGCCCGGACAGTGATTCGGTCCAACCGCAGTGAGCTGTCATTGGGCGGAGGACAACTTTGGTTTGTAATTCACATTTAGGGGAGTATAAAATTAGAAACATACATATTGTTAAGTCTGTATTTGGCTACAGCCTCTGCCCTGATGCCACACACCGTCTGTCAATGCAGTTATGTTTTACCCAATTGGATTGATTGACAGGCCGCACCATGCGAAGAGAGGAAAGTGGGTGTTTCTTGTGTTCTAATGTTTGTTTTTCAGATGAAAGATAAACTGCACCTGCTTCAGGGATGACAGTAGTATGAATTAAGGAAATGAGCCTCTACTTTGGCACCAAAGCCCACAATATGAATTGAGGACGATCCGGGAGGAGCAACAGGATTGGAACAGTAATCTACACACACATACAGATGCATGTTTTATACTTTGGACCACGACCAAAAGAGGGGAGTATTGTATTGTCATAGGTGGTCATGGTCCTTAACCTTCTAAATCATTAGAAAGAAGTGTAAAACATATATTTACAAGAACAAATAAATAATAGAAAGGGCAGCCTAAAAAAGCAAAATGGGAAAATTATTAAGTAATTTTCGGAGTATAGGGGGTCATTCTAAATTTAGTGTTGTGCAAATTCAAAAGGAGAAATAATAGCGCTTATAACATCAAACGGATCTACTCTTTAAGATAATAGATCATATAATAATAAGATAATAATAGAATAGAATGAAATAGTCTGGAGCTATAATGTCATTGGATTCGAGGAGCTATAGGTTGAAGTGTCAGAATAAACAATAGTAATAATAGTTAGACTAGTGAATAATCAAAATAGTTCTATTGTGGAAATAAGTATCAATAAGGTCAAATTGTTCTAATAACTAAAGTAAAAAGGAATCAAATGGAGTCAGATTTTAGATGTTTCTGTTTTCCACATCTGTAGGAACTGGTGCAGAGGTGTTTATAGAGAGTAGTATTAAAATGCAGACATAGAACGACAGGCTTTAACACAATTTTAAATCTAAAAATAGCTCAAATATAACATTGCTCTTGACGCAGCCTCTGAGCTGCTCCATTGGAGAACAGGTTAAATGTTATTGTTTATTACAAACAGCTGATGTATTTACACACATTAAGTTTGGGACAACTCTTTAAACAGTTATAAGCAGTGGACAGAAGCCATGAATGTGCTTTTGTTTATTAAATAATTAATTTCATAGCCTTATAATCGTAGAGAACGTTTTAAAATAGTTAAAATCCCTTTCAGGCAACTTGATTTAGATGTATGTCTTTAACATTGGAGAACGACTGTGTTGTTTTTGGAATTGTCTGAAATACAATACATAGAATAATGATTTGCAGAACAAGAACCGGCCAATAAAAAATCGTCTATTGCCAATGCAATTGTTACAATCAGAACTCAAAAATTGGGAATATGCCTTTGCTCAAGCTGCAACCGAGCTTTAGAGTCACAATAGAGTAAAAATAGGAATAGATAAATGCATCAACCATAGATGCTTTCAAAAATAGAGATTATTTTTAGCCAAGGCTAATATCAAACGGTAAAAGGACCATTTCCTTCATATTATGTCTAAAAGTATTTACTTCAAAGGTAGATAAAGTTCATTACAGTTTATGCACAGTTTTATTAGATACTGTCAAATTCACTTGTTTCAAACATGGGTGAATGTTGACAATGCAAAAAGCTAATGAGATAGATTAATGAGATCGATTAGAACCAACACAGATTCAAAAACATTTGAAAGCATTTTAATGTATTTGGGTAAAGCACAAAAGTAGATATTTAGGTATTTTTGAGAATTTAAAAAAACTGTTGATTTGTCAGCAACAGATTAGAGAATCAAATACCGTTGTATAGGGACTGACCCCAGAGAAACCTGCTAAAATAGATTAGCTCCTGTACGGATAATACCAATTTGATTAACGATGTACATTTATCCCAAACTGTCTTGAGAGGAGGAAGTGACAGCACTTCCTGGTTCAACAAAATGTGTTTGGAAAAATGAGCAAAGCCATAGTATAGAGAGATTTATTAGATAAAAACATATGTTTAAGAATAGGGCTCAATAAAAGCAAAATATGCAAACATATTTGTAAATAGATTAGAATAGTTTAAACTATAGTGAATAGATTCAGTGCATACATTACAGACGAGGTTGAAGAAAGACTCAGAAGGACATAGCAGTAGTCATCAAAGAGTTTAGTGAAGGAATGTTTCGAATGTGGTTTGTTGTGTGTTGTTTGTCTTCTCTGTATTAACTCTTCACAGATAACGAGCCAGAACCAAGGCGATGATGGAAGAGTTCCCCAGTCCCGTCACCCAGAAGGGATATTGAAAGATTGTGACCTAAATTGGTTTAATATAGGTCAAAAGAGGGAATAATGCATCATCTCAAGAAATGCTGCACACGTTGTTTATATTTTCAGTGATTTCATATTAAGTGGGGTCTAGTCGAGTCAGCCAGACCATGTGAGGAATGCAGAGCTCCCCCAGCCAGATAAGAGTTGTTTGGAGAAGGAGATTGATGTCAGACCAGACCAAGACCAGACCAGACAGAGTCCGGAGTCCAATGGGCTAGCTGGAGTACGCGCCTCCCAAAACCAGAAAAAGCTGGATCAGACTGGACCAGTCTGGGACCTGTGACGTCATCAGACTTTCTGATAGAAACTGCTCGGAGGAGATTTTCAGGCAGTCTGAGCAGGGATAGTTAGACAGGGAACATCGCAGAGCGCCTGGATGTCCCCTGCACATTTTTCAGGCCTGGAGGGACAGTTAGAATGGCTCAGCATAGGGTTAGTTTTAGAGAATTTAGGGCTCCGAGAGTTTTTGTATCAATATTTAATTGTAAAGAGAATTAAATGTTCTATTTTTAACTCCTGCATTCTTGGCCTTATTTCTGTATCAAATTCTGAACACGTCAGTCAAATCATTTTTTGACATCAGAACCTATGTACCTATGTACCTATGAACCGATGTACCTATGTACCGATGAACCTATGAACCTATGAACCTATGTACCTATGAACCTATGAACCTATGTACCAATGTACCAATGTACCTATGTACCTATGTACCTATGAACCTATGTACCAATGAACCTATGTACCTATGTACCATCCACAGCACTGCAGTAAGTGATAAAAAGTTAAGTATCATGTATTTTAACACATTCTGAGCCTTAAAGCAAGTTTTACCAATGAGACAAAGCCATCACTGACCTTCGACCTTCAAGAATCTCCAAAAACATTAAATTAAACTTCTCTACATGTCCTCAGGACTGTGGCTCCAGAATGCTTTGGGTTGATTTTTTATTTACTCTTTTAAAACACGATAATTTAGCTTGTTATGAGGCAGTTGGAATGTGCTCAGATTAAGATACATTTAGCGAGACTTTAGCCTTTTTTGACTTTCATTTTCATTTTCATATGAAGCTGGTGAGGCCAACGTAGAAATGTAATGAAATCTAATTAAATATCTAAGTAGTAAGTTATCTTTATGTAGCACGTTTCACAAACGTGTGAAGTAGTGTGTCTGTGGGAGTGTGGTTTAGAGAACAGCCTCCGACCACAGCTCAGACAACGCTGCACGACCACAGCCGCTTCCTTCGTCATCATCAGACTTTAAACATAGATCCATCTTTACGGATTCTTCAGAACAATATCAATGATTATTGGTTAATAAATAGATACTTTATTGATCCCCCGTAGGAGAAAGTCAGGTCTCCAGCAGCAGAAGAATCATACAGTTTTGTTGTGATAATAATAATGCATTGGTTTTATACAGCGCTTTTTGGGCTCTCAAAGACACTTCACATGTCATCATTCTATCACTCCATAAAACTAAACTACTGTAGCCACAGCTGCCCTGGGGCACACTGACAGAAGCGAGGCAACCAGTCTGTGCCATCAGCCCCTCCCACCACCACCAACCATTCACACACACTCATTCTAATGTGGGGAAAGTGTCTTGCCTAAGGACACAATGGCAGTAAGTAAGTAATCTTTATTTATATACCGCCTTTCACAGATCTGAGTCACAAAGCGGTTTACAATTGTTATTTTTTGGGCAATTGTCTCTCACTCCACACAGAGATGGGAGCGGGGCCAGTACAGGAGGCGCATGCCAGACCTATTGGACATATTTTTAGTGGTAGGGGAAACCGGAGTACCCGGAGGAAACCTACGCAGACACGGGGAGAACATGCAAACTCCACTCAGAAAGGCCCTGGTCCGGCCGGGATTCGAACCCAGGACCTTCTTGTTGAGAGGCGAGAGTGCTACCCACTCAGCCACCGTGCCGCCCTACCGCAGTACACTTTACAGCCGCCCCACTGTGGCATTTGGTGTTGCCGGTGGTTGGCGTTAAGAGTCTTGCCCAAGGACACAACGACAGCAGACATCAGAGGGAGTCGATGGAGAAAGTCTGGTGGTCGGTACCTGCAGATGTGTGAGGTAGGTCTCCACGTTCTCCAGAAGCTCCAGGATGCACTTCTCCAGCAGGTAGAAGAATCCCTCCAGGGAATCGAACTCCTCGTCCACCAACTGAAAACACACAGGGTTCAAACTTTTAAAACAATCATAGACTTTGCATTTTTCATCCACGCACAGAGCCACGGTAAGAAACAACTGAACATGTGAACCTGACAGAGAACCTACAGAGAACCTGACCTGACAGAGAACCTGACAGAGAACCTACAGAGAACCTGACAGAGAACCTGACAGAGAACCTACAGAGAACCTGACCTGACAGAGAACCTGACCTGACAGAGAACCTGACAGAGAACCTACAGAGAACCTGACAGAGAACTTGACAGAGAACCTGACAGAGAACCTGACAGAGAACCTACGGAGAACCTGACAGAGAACCTGACAGAGAACCTACAGAGAACCTGACCTGACAGAGAACCTACAGAGAACCTGACCTGACAGAGAACCTGACAGAGAACCTACAGAGAACCTACAGAGAACCTGACCTGACAGAGAACCTGACCTGACAGAGAACCTGACAGAGAACCTACAGAGAACCTGACAGAGAACTTGACAGAGAACCTGACAGAGAACCTGACAGAGAACCTACGGAGAACCTGACAGAGAACCTGACAGAGAACCTGACAAAGAACCTGACAGAGAACCTGACAGAGAACCTGACAGAGAACCTGACAGAGAACCTGACAGAGAACCTGACAGAGAACCTGACAGAGAACCTGACAGAGAACCTGACAAAGAACCTGACAGAGAACCTGACAGAGAACCTGACAGAGAACCTACAGAGAACCTGACAGAGAACTGACAGAGAACCTGACAGAGAACCTGACAGAACGGAGAACCTGACAGAGAACCTGACAGAGAACCTGACAAGAACCTGACAGAGAACCTGACAGAGAACCTGACAGAGAACCTGACAGAGAACCTGACAGAGAACCTGACAGAGAACCTGACAGAGAACCTGACAGAGAACCTGACAGAGAACCTGACAAAGAACCTGACAGAGAACCTGACAGAGAATCTATCAGTTCTTCTTTCAAAATTACTTATTTGATCATAAAGAAATCTGCATAAAAACTCCAAAGTAATAGTCTGTTTTTTCTTAGATCAAAATGTCAGATTGAGTGAGTTATTTGCTTGATGAAGGCATAATGCCGAAACGTTGCACTTCCAATCAATTCTTTTTAATTTACAAGTAAGACGGTGTGCGGGAATCATTCTCTCTTTTAAGTCAAAAATGTAAAATAAATAAAAAAAACATGAAAATTGGCAAAAAACTGTATATATAATAATAAAATTGATGTATAGAAATAGAAAAGAGAAAAAAAAGATGTACTCATAATATTAACAAAACTAATAATAGACCAAATGGGTAAAAATAACACAAAAAAAGGTCTATTTCCGTCCCTCTCTGTGCATAAATATCCAGAATAGATCCAGACCTTGGGTGCTATTCCGGTCTCGTGTTTGATCTGCTGACTGAGGCGCGCCGTCTTCTTGAAGATGCTGTGAGTGTTCAGTCTGTTGATCATGTCTTTGATACTCAGGCTCTCCGTCTTCTTGTATTTGTTCGCTGTGGAGTGGACACAAAAAGGTGGCAAAAAGTTTAGGATAAATCAGGTACAAAGTCTGGCAGGTTTAGACACGTCCAAAGAATAAATGTGTCTGTGTTTTGTACATGAAGCCGGCCCCAGACGTCCAAGATGGCGGCTCATTCAGGTCCATGGCTCGTGCTCATTGCATGGATCTATAATAATATCTGGATAGAATTACTAGTTTATAGCTGTCCCACCCATGGCCACAGGGGGCGCCGTGGTACTGCAGACTAAATTCACGTGGGCCACAAGAAAAATGTTCCCCATAGAACTCAATGTAAAATAAAACAGACCTCAGCTGACAGAGAACCTGACAGAGAACCTGACAGAGAACCTGACAGAGAACCTGACAGAGAACCTGACAGAGAACCTGACAGAGAACCTGACAGAGAGGGTGTTAGTGTCTCTTGTCGTCCTGAACATTTTTTCTTCTTAAATCCTTCTGTTTTCTTTAAATCCACACTTTACTGCCACAAACTCTGCTCCTTTCCTTCCCGCTCTGACTCCGCCCTGCTGCTGCTCTGACCAGCTCTGATTGGTCAGAGGCCGAGCCCCTCTGTGCACGTGCATGAGAACACACACACACGCGTATTTGGCGCAAAGCATCATGGGAGATAATCCACCGCACAGAACCGGGAGGACCAGACGATGCCCAAATACAGGCGAGTTCTGCAAATCTTTTGGTCTCCGTCCCACAAACCATTCATTTGAATATGCCGCCATCTTGGATCACCGAGGCTGGTCTCATTGCCAAAGTTGCTCAATGTTGTCCACCCAAAAAATGTGCAGAAAAACAGAAATGACATAAAACTGGTTCTGGACATGAGCAGTCGTTGTGCAGTGTTGCTTCTCCCATAGAACTTTCCTCTGGTATTTTTGTTTATGCCACACACGGAACCCCATTTATAAGCTTTGCAGAACTTTTTGGGCCGTCCATTTCTCCCGAGAGTCACAAAAAAGATATGCACAAAAAAGTCATGAATTTGATATCCATGATGTGAAAATAAATAAATACATTGAATGAGCGATCTGCCCAATCAGTACGAGCCAATCAGAACGAGCCAATCAGTACGAGCCAATCAGAGTTATCCATTTAACAAGTCAGTAAAATACACTCTAAATGATCCATGATATGAATAAAAACAGTAAAAACAAGTCAGTAAAATACACTCTAAATGATCCATGATATGAATAAAAACAGTAAAAACAAGTCAGTAAAATACACTCTAAATGATCCATGATATGAATAAAAACAGTAAAAACAAGTCAGTAAAATACACTCTAAATGATCCATGATATGAATAAAAACAGTAAAAACAAGTCAGTAAAATACACTCTAAATGATCCATGATATGAATAAAAACAGTAAAAACAAGTCAGTAAAATACACTCTAAATGATCCATGATATGAATAAAAACAGTAAAAACAAGTCAGTAAAATACACTCTAAATGATCCATGATATGAATAAAAACAGTAAAAACAAGTCAGTAAAATACACTCTAAATGATCCATGATATGAATAAAAACAGTAAAAACAAGTCAGTAAAATACACTCTAAATGATCCATGATATGAATAAAAACAGTAAAAACAAGTCAGTAAAATACACTCTAAATGATCCATGATATGAATAAAAACAGTAAAAACAAGTCAGTAAAATACACTCTAAATGATCCATGATATGAATAAAAACAGTAAAAACAAGTCAGTAAAATACACTCTAAATGATCCATGATATGAATAAAAACGACTTCTAACATTTACTAAACAAAAACACATGTAGTGAATGTCCAGCTCCAGACTCACCGACTTCCCTGAACTCTCGGATCCTCTTGTACTCGTTGATGCGACAGTTGATGTCCACCGAGGTGCGAGCGGTCTCCTGCAGCAGGCCCAAAGCCGGGTGCGAGGGCTCCGTGTGGCCCTTTATGGTCTGAAGGAGCAGAGGGTACCGGGCGATCCTCTGCACCGGCATCACCAGGAAGAAGCTCAGTGACGAGGCCTTCAGCTCCGGCCTGACGACGCAGAACATGCAATACTATTAGATACAACATCACATACTGTCCTCCCACATGGTCCCTGGTCCCTGGTCTCTAGCAAACACCACAGATCTGAAACCCTGGACTAGAAACCCCATCACTCTCTCCACTGTCCCATAAACACAAACTTCTCACTCTTGAAAATATGGTCAAGTTCCTCCACCTCTGGCTGGTCTATAAAATCCTTCATGGTCTTTCATCTCCACCTCTCAGGCTGAGTTTACACGGAGACAATGTGGCAGTAAAACGGTATAGTTGGATGTCGGTTTCTACCAAGCGTTCATACGAAGACTGTGTTTCAGGGGGGTGAAAACGTAAGTGTTCAGATCCAGCCTGCAAAGTGGGATAACTCAGATACGCTGCACAGCGGGGAGCTTCTTCACACCCGCGAGAGGGGAATAGGTGTGAAATCCCCCTCTGCTCTGACCCCCACCTCCGCACTGCTCCCTGCACGTAAATTTGGACATGCGCAGTAGCGGAGAACAAACATCAACAACAATGGTGGCGGTCGCACTAACTAGCTTCGTGGGCTTCGAGCACAGCACAGAGGATAATTCTACACCAGGGGTCGGCAACCCGCGGCTCCGGAGCCGCATGCGGCTCTTGAGTGCTCCTGGAGTGGCTCCTGGAGCCTTTTCAAAAATGTCTGAAAATGGAGTGTGAGGGCTATATTTTATTTCTAGTTTGAATGTGGTTTCTGTAGAAGGAAAAACAATCTTTACGTTTTTAAATGCTGTAAAAATATGTATAAGTAATATCTAATTTCAACATTTCTGTCAACGTAGCGCGTCATATCCTATGACACGCGGTCACGCGGCCCCGCCCCATGCGGCCGCTGCTGTAAACAAACCGGCGTGTGTGCATCATAGACTGTAAGTGCACATGGATCCCAAAGCTAAAGAGTCGATAACAAGACTGGACTAAGAATGAGAATGAACATTTTCTTTCAGTCAATGAGGAAGGACTACTTCATGTTTGTAATGAAAAGTTTTGTTGCAACACGAGGAACAATGGCGCGCAAAACACTGTAAACGGTGATTACGTGAAGGATTCATTCATCAAAAATTCAGAGCACCTATTTTCAGACTTCAAAACCTTCTCAAAGACGGTGAAAGAAAAGGCCATTAAGGATTTTAATTCAGCTCCAGCAAACTTCAGCCTGTGACGTGATGGATATGAACAGACAGTGATGCAGGTATGTGACCTCTGAGCCCAAAGCAGATTTATTTACTGTATTTCTATAATTGCATGAAGGCAAAAAAATGGAAGTTAAACTAAAGCAGAGTTGTCCCGTGTTCCGTCATTCACGACACGCGTGGTGCGACACGCTGCAGTGAAAATACACATTTGATAATCATGAATGATTATTATGTATTTGTAGCCTTTACTTTGTCATTTAGATATTAGGCTAATATAGCTAATACATCTTGCAGCCTGTGTTAACTTCATAAAAGCCTTATACAAGGCTGTTATTTTTTTGCGGCTCCAGACAGATGTTGTTTTTAGTTTTTTTGTCAATTATGGCTCTTTGAACATTTTGGGTTCCCGACCCCTGTTCTACACCTTCGTTCGTCCAAACGAGACCACGCGAAGCTCTAGGTCCAGTTTCCATTTTCACAGCTGCTGTTAAAATGCAGAATGATGTTGGTGCGTTCTGAGGGTCTGGCACAGGAAGTGAGTACACTGCCGAGAGGGGGGCTGGGGGTCGTGTGAGTGTTGTAAAGTTTCTCTGCCCACTACTGGCCGGGCGCTAGAACTACATAGTTTTTCAACCTCATGTGAACGCTGAGAAATTTGCATTAGGAGCCAGGTCGTTTCTGTTCATAGCCTGGAAACGTCTGCGAAGCGTCTCAGTATAAACAGGGCCTAAGTCAGTTCATCAATACCAGAAAACAGCACCCACACCAGGACCAGGGGGGTTAGGGTTAGGGCCCCCTCCCCCCGCTCCAGGAAAAGCACATTTGGTCAAACTTAATTCTCCGTCCGTGCCACCTCAGATTGGAAACCTCCGACCCACAACCCTCAGAAATGCGGCCTCTTACCTCACTGGCTCATTGATAACCGAACCTGTCAGCACTGCCCCCTGCTGGCCGCTTGCTCTGTGTGCGTCTGTATGTGTTGTGTGTGTATCTCCTTATGATTGTGTATAGCTCACATTATTTTAACTGTCTGTGAAGCAAACATGTTTTTATCTTTCAGGAGACACAGGACTACGAATGGAAAATATCTTCTTGGGTAATTCTCAGCCTGGTCTTATCCATCCGTACTCTCTGGTCCATCATCATGTCCTGCAGGTAACGTCTGGGTCTGGTCCCTGTGTTTGGGATTACAATCGGTTGAATTCCATCCGACCAATCAGAGAGCGCGGGAGGCGGGTGTTGTAGTTAGATGTGGGTGACATCAAGAGTTTGCGTCGAACGGGCAGGTTGTAGTTTGGTGAAGAATGTGATAGTAAAGTATTCTGGTCTGGTTCTATCAAGAAACTGAAGCCGGAGCAAGAGGAATGTTTAGCAAATGTAATCTCTGCAAATATTGTGGCGCTACTCCCCACGGGCTCTGTTAGCGGCAAAGGAGATGGCTAAAGCTAGGCTAAATGCTAACGGCTCACTCGGGCTCATTACATACGTCACGGTAAACTCTGATCCATTCGTTTCGATCTGTAAAAGGAGTTAACCCCTCCCACCTGTTCACGGAGTCAATGGAGCACCCAAAGTACTGTTATTGAAATTTGGTTTTTAGATGACCTTTTTAATGAATTTTGAGAACACGATGTTTTAAATCCATGTCATGACACGGCCGGTATATGTATATTAGTACTCTCGTCTCCTAGAGGTCTGGCGGGAGGTGTTCATGCAGATGTGGGCCATGCAGATGTGGGCCATGCAGATGTGGGCCATGCTGATGCGGGCCATGCTGATGCGGGCCATTGTCTCCTTTGCCTCCTGTGTCCTGTATGCATATGTTCGACTGTTTGCATGATAATACGGAGGGCTTCCCTTTGAAACTGTTGAAACTGTACTCATGACTGTTTGGGGGTAGGTTCTGAGAGTGAGTTTACACGGAGACAATGTGGCAGTAAAACGGTATAGTTGGATGTCAGTTTCTACCAACCGTTCATACGGAGACTGTGTTCCAGGTGAAAACGTAAGTGTTCAGATCCAGCCTCAGAGTGGGACAACTCAGAAACTCTGCACAGCGGGGGCTCTTTAACACCCGCGAGAGGGGAAAGGTGTGAAATCCCCCTCTGCTCTGACCCCCACCTCCTGCTGCTCTGACCCCCACCTCCTGCTGCTCTGACCCCACCTCCTGCTGCTCTGACCCCCACCTCCTGCTGCTCTGACCCCCACCTCCTGCTGCTCTGACCCCCACCTCCTGCTGCTCTGACCCCACCTCCTGCGCTGCTGCCTCTCTGACCCCCACCTCCTGCTGCTCTGACCCCCACCTCCTGCTGCTCTGACCCCACCTCCTGCCCTGCCACCTCCTGCTGCTGACCCCACTCTGCTGCTCTGACCCCCCGCCTCCTGCTGCTCTGACCCCCACCTCCTGCTGCTCTGACCCCCCCGCCTCCTGCTGCTCTGACCCCCACCCCCTGCTGCTCTGACCCCCCCTCCTGCTGCTCTGCTGCTGCTCTGACCCCCACCTCCTGCTGCTCTGACCCCCACCTCCTGCTGCTCTGACCCCCACCTCCTGCTGCTTTGACCCCCACCTCCTGCTGCTCTGACTCCCCCACCTCCTGCTGCTCTGACCCCACCTCCTGCTGCTCTGACCCCCACCTCCTGCTGCTCTGACCCCCACCTCCTGCTGCTCTGACCCCCACCTCCTGCTGCTCTGACCCCCACCTCCTGCTGCTCTGACCCCCGCCTCCTGCTGCTCTGACCCCCACCTCCTGCTGCTCTGACCCCCGCCTCCTGCTGCTCTGACCCCCGCCTCCTGCTGCTCTGACCCCCGCCTCCGCGCTGCTCCCCGCACGTAAATTTGGACATGCGCAGTAGCGGAGAACAAACATAAACAATAATGGCGGCCGGTAAACGAACTAGCTTCGTGGGCTTCCAGCGCGGGACAGAGGATAATTCTACTCCTTCGTTCGTCCAAACGAGACCACGCGAAGCTCTAGGTTCAGTTCCCATGTTCACAGCTGCTGTTAAAATGCAGAATGATGCTGGTGCGTCCTGAGGGTCTGGCACAGGAAGTGAGGGGGGCTGGGCACGGGGCTGGGGGTCGTGTGAGTGTTGTAAAGTTTATCTGCCCCCTACTGGCCGGGCGCTAGAACTACATCGTTTTTCAACCTCATGTGAACGCTGAGAAATTTGCATTAGGAGCCAGGTCGTTTCTGTTAATAGCCTGGAAACGTCTGCGCAGCGTCTCAGCATAAACAGGGCCTGAGACACTGAACAAAGGAGGTTGCTTCGTGGAGGAGAGATTAGACGACGTTATCTTGGAGCTGCTTTCTGCTGCCTCCTCCATGGACGTCCAACCATGTTAAACAGAATGACAACTTTGGCCTAATCTTTGCGTGCTTTGGTCCAGATGACCTGCAGAGGAACTAGCTTTTATCAAGTACGAAATGTAATTAGTGCTATGGTGTGGTACGACCAGGCTAGGTTATTCTGGATTATTCACTGTCCCTATATTCATTCATTTTCAAGCCCTTTATTGTCCATTTCTGGGTCAGGGGGGGGGCAATGAGCACCAGTCCCTCTGATCCTCTGCAGGGGGTGAGTCCACAGGAAGATGGCTGCTCTGTCAGCGGTGAAACAGCCTTGGTCTTTCAGCGGGGGCTTCAGGCAACGTGGGGTTAAGTGTCTTGCCCAAGGACACAACGACAGCAGTCATCAGTGGGAGCAGTTGGAGTAGGTCCCATGGTGGGAATCGAACTCACGACCTCCAGGCTCAAAGGCCACTGCTCTACCAACTGAGCTACTGTCGCCCCAAACTGTCTCAATAATAAAAAATAAAAAAGTCTCTCACAGATAAAGTGATTTGAATTGAATGGATTATTGCACGTCAGGTCAGTGCCTCAGAAGAACATGGACTTTCACTTTATTGCCCTCGTTTCTTGGTTTGTCGTGATTGGAATTTGTCGACTCTTCTTCCGACGAGTCTGAGAATGTGGTCGGATCACTGCAGCGGGAAACGACGCCGAGAATGAACCGCTCTCAGACATGGACAGTATTGCACACATATTGCACGTCTCGTCCTTTATGGCAGGTTTATGGCATGAGCAGGGTTCAAAGGTCAGGACTGAGCCGGGTCTGAGCCGGGTCTGAGCCGGGACTGAGCCGGGACTGAGCCGGGTCTGAGCCGGGACTGAGCCGGGACTGAGCCGGGACTGAGCCGGGTCTGAGCCGGGTCTGAGCCGGGTCTGAGCCGGGTCTGAGCATAGTCTAGACCAGGACTAGACCAGGACTAGACCAGAACTAGACCAAAACTAGACCTGAACTACACCAGGACTAGACCAGGACTAGACCAGGACTAGACCAGAACTAGACCTGAACTACACCAGGACTAGACCAGGACTAGACCAGAACTAGACCAGGACTAGACCAGGACTAGACCAGGACTAGACCAGGACAGGACTAGACCAGGACTAGACCAGGACTAGACCAGGACTAGACCAGAACTAGACCAGGACTAGACCAGGACTAGACCAGGACTAGACCAGGACTAGACCAGGACTAGACCAGGACTAGACCAGGACTAGACCAGAACTAGACCAGGACTAGACCAGAACTAGACCAGGACTAGACCAGATCTAGACCAGGACTAGACCAGGACTAGACCAGGACTAGACCAGGACTAGACCAGGACTAGACCAGGCGACTGTTGTTGTGTTTTACGCCTAAGATAAATGTAATTGTTTTTTATTGTTCACTAAAATCAAGTGAAAAACAGAAATCTCAGTGGGACTTTCTTGTTTAAATATTAATAATAATCATAATAATAAATACACTAATAGTTTGTTTGATCCAAAGTCTTGCAGCAGTTTTACAAAACCAGAACCTCAGACTCACGCGGCGCTCTGGAGCACTCTGACGACCTGGTCCCACAGCGCCTCCTTCTGTTTGGTGCTGACCTCCCACTGCGTCACGTGACTGTAGCAGGACAAATACTCTCTGTACGCAGACTCTATGTGCGACGACAGAGCCAGGAACGAGTTACCTGCAAACACACCACAGACACTGAAGCGCAGAACGGAACCCACACATTTAACTGAATCTTCACATAAAGTTTTAACCATTAGGTACAGAGCGTTTCTTTAAAATCATCAACTAAAAGGGAATGATATGTTTTGTAAATGACATGTCTGCGGCTCTGACCTGTTACTATGACACTGTAAAAAAGTTCAGATTTATTGACTAAAAATAACAAATGATGCTTGTTTTTTAATGGCAAGTTTGTTTTGCTTGAATGTAGTTTGTTATAAGATTATTTTACTAGTTTGAAGCTACTTTTTTTTTACCAGGAAAGTCCCATTGAGATTAAAAACCTCTTTAAGGGAGTCCTGGACAAAATGTTTTTAGAGGAAAAAGTCTGAGCAGTTTTTAAGCTTGTTTAAAGTATTTTTATTTATTATTGACAGACTTATCTTGTTTAGATAAATTAAGTTTGTGATGCTGTATTTTAAGAAAACAATTCTCAAACACGTTTAAGAAAGTCGTTTGGGGCTAATATTATTATCTTATTATTTATTTTTTTCTTACAGTGGAACTATTTCATCTATCTAGGCCATGTATCTAGAACACACTTCTGTAAAAAGACTAGATTGGATGGCAAGTTAAACACTGTGTTGTTTTGACTCCTCAGCCCGTGTCTCTCCGTGTGCACAGAAGGAGGAAGACCCAGGTTCTAGTTCTTACAGAAGGACTGGAGGAAGAGTGGGTCTCCAGGCTGCAGAGAGCCGTCGTCCACAGAGTTCAGGAGATGACTGGTCACAGAGATGACGGCGGGAAGGAGCTCAAACATGGAGTCCACGTTCACCAGAGGAGGCTGGAACACCGAGAAGAAAGTACTTTAAAAACCATGTAATCTGTAATCTGTAATCTGACAAGTGCTAGCTCTGCCCTACACAAGATTACATAATTGTCCTTGTACAGTACACATTTTGTTGATACCTTTTGAATCTCAGACTTTCTCTTGGACTGGGTCCAAGAGAAAGTCTCTTCTGGCTCATGTAAAACCCTGGGCTAAGAACCTGAACCCCGGGCTAAGAACCTGAACCCTGGGCTAAGAACCTGAACCCTGGGCCAAGAACCTGAACCCTGGGCCAAGAACCTGAACCCTGGGCTAAGAACCTGAACCCTGGGCTAAGAACCTGAACCCCGGGCTAAGAACCTGAACCCTGGGCTAAGAACCTGAACCCTGGGCTAAGAACCTGAACCCCGGGCTAAGAACCTGAACCCTGGGCTAAGAACCTGAACCCCGGGCTAAGAACCTGGGAATCATTACAGACGGACATTTTAAAATCCATAGCCAGATAAATATTGTAGGATAAATTAAAATGGCCTCTTTCCTCAATCAAAGACATTTTGTTGTATATTGAGACATATTATAACTTCTGTCTCCACTGTGTGTAAATCCTTGTGGTTCAGGTTTTATTGTGGGCAAGAATGTTTTAAGATAAGTGCCATGGCAACACCCTTCCCCCAAAGACTCTACAAGAGGGAAGACAAACCAGTCTGCTTTGGAACCACGGAGTGACCAGACCTCCCTGGGCTCTGCCCTGGGCTCTGCTCAGGCAACCAAGGGGCCTGGGGCCTCTTAGATGGCCTCAAACCTCAGCTCCACGTTTGAGAGGACTTCCACAACCCTTCAATAGCCTCCAGCTTCTACCTGAAGAAGTTGCTGAGTTTTGGCACCTAGACTGTGGATCGTGGGAGGACCACATGATGCAGCCGCTTGGTCCAGGCCCCGTGGACAAGAAGCCTCCATCCAACACCATCAAGACCCAAGGACTGCTATTCACCCAAGGCTATTCTGGTTGTATGATCTGCTCTCTTGCTACACACAGTTGTTGGCTTTATTAAAACCTATACTTCAAAGAATACTTCTCCTACCAAGGCTGAACACATGCAGGCCTCAGACTATACCAATCCATTCATAGACAAAGGTCTTGCTTAGCTCACTTTAGCCTAGCATTTTAACAATGTATCTTGAAATCAACGTTTCCTTCATGTTATTCTTGACAATTTGCATATTTCATATCTAGTCTGTATTGTGTATACTTCATTAAATCTACAAAACCATCTTTGTCTGAATGTGATATTTGTACTTTTAACTCCAGAAATTGGGTCACTGATTTGTAAAAGAATTCACTACCTTCAGATTCTATTGAAGAGGATTGGACTAATTAGCTAATTAAATAATGAAAGGACTCATGAGATTACTTAATCAATAAATGAGCCAATTAATTGATATTGTGACGTCATATGCACGTTATCAGTTGGGAGTTATTCCCTGGTGCCCCTAAATAAAGCTATTATCAATTATTGTATTTATTACATGGTTGTTTTTGATCCAATTCTCCGATATCAGGTACATAACTTAAGTTATGTACCTGATATCGACATTTTCTCACCCTACAATATTATGGCGCCCCGTGTGAGGCAAAACAAACTTAATTTCTGGAAATTAAATCATAGAAATTCAATGTGACAAACTTGTTGTAAACTGTTGTTGCGAAGAAAACTGAGGTACTTCACCGGAGCAATCCAATCTAAACTCAAAGTATCTATTCTTGTATAGCATAAACATGCATAAAACTCCAACGCATTACCAGCGCACTAAAGTTAAAACTTAAAAGTTAAATGCTGCAATTCTCCAAATTCAAATGACTTTCAAATCAAAGATGGCTCTTCCTCTTGCTGCAGAATGTCACACCTCTGTGCCAAGAGCCAAAAGCATCTGGCCAATCAGAGCACTTCATCTGCAGGCTGTGAGAGGGGGAAGGGGGGTCCACGGCCCCTCCCCACAGACACTCAGATGTCCCTCACACAGCACCTCCTGGAAGGTCAAGAAGGGTTAGAGATGACAGCAGAGTTTACAAAGTCATTAATGGCTTTGTGCTCGAACAACATCTCCAAAAACCACACCTGCAAATTCACACGCTATTCCGTTACTTAGTTCAAGACGTAATGGCTGCGAGTGATTTCCAGCGTGTAAAGCTTAAAACCAAGAGGCATCGAGTGTAAATGAACATGACCACCTGCGACTTTCCAGAGGCGTTCAATACACCGCCTGATCTCAAAGCTATGACTAAACGCGACGTTCCGTTAGCCATTAGCAAAAGATCCTGAAGTGGGACTTGTTATCCACACAGGCATGTTTTACGTAAATCGCTGCGAGTACGCCCCAGCGTGTAAACCCTCGATCAAAGGGGTCTCGGTGTAAATGTAAGTGGCAACCTGCGATGTCCAGGGCCCGATCAACACCCCCCACGATCTTTAAGCTAGGTCTAACGCGACTCTCCGTTAACCTTTAGCAAAAGACCTGTATGTGAGATTAGCTACCCACACAAGCACGGTTAAGCAAAAATCGCTGCAAGTAAGTCCAGCATGTAAATCGTCAAACCAAGTTGTAAAACGAGCCACCACTGGTTAATAATTTCCAGTTGCGCGTATTTGCTTATACTTTTGCTCTACCAAAAGAGTAAACAGAAGAATATCTGAGATTCAAAGTCACTTTTCTAGGAAAATCTATGCTCAAATAAGAGTCATTATTGCGGCAAAATCGAGCCGGTAAGACTTGGCTCCACGTTGAATTGTCTCAGTGAAAGTATCCTCCCTCAACAACACTCCAAATTGTTTGAAGATTAAATTTTATACATTCTCTATTGTCAATTATAACAGCATATATCTACAGATATTAGCTTCCAGCTACTAGCCTAGCATTAGCTAATACAAGCATCTTTGCCTCCAGCTATTACCATAGCCTTAGCTATCTCCATCAAAGAATGGAAAAGCTCAGACAAATATTCTTACCAGTTAATCTGAATAAAACCACTCCAGTGAACTCTAGATAGAGCATACACACAGACTTAGCTATAAAACTCCTGACATTGTCTCAAACACAGTTAGGACAAACTAAAAGCCAACTCTGTGACATAAGCAATAGAGCTCTATTACAGCAGAACTTCGCCTCCGCCTCCTACTGAGAGCTCTACTTCCTGCTGAGAACTCCGCCTCCTACTGAGAGCTCTACTTCCTGCTGAGAACTCCGCCTCCTACTGAGAGCTCTACTTCCTGCTGAGAACTCCGCCTCCTACTTAGAGCTCTACTTCCTGCTGAGAACTCCGCCTCCTACTGAGAGCTCTGCTTCCTGCTGAGAACTCCGCCTCCTACTGAGAGCTCTACTTCCTGCTGAGAACTCCGCCTCCTACTGAGAGCTCTACTTCCTGCTGAGAACTCCGCCTCCTACTGAGAGCTCTACTTCCTGCTGAGAACTCCGCCTCCTACTGAGAGCTCTACTTCCTGCTGAGAACTCCGCCTCCTACTGAGAGCTCTACTTCCTGCTGAGAACTCCGCCTCCTACTGAGAGCTCTGCTTCCTGTTGAGAACTCCGCCTCCTACTGAGAGCTCTACTTCCTGCTGAGAACTCCGCCTCCTACTGAGAGCTCTGCTTCCTGTTGAGAACTCCGCCTCCTACTGAGAGCTCTACTTCCTGCTGAGAACTCCGCCTCCTACTGACAGCTCTGCTTCCTGCTGAGAACTCCGCCTCCTACTGAGAGCTCTGCTTCCTGCTGAGAACCCCGCCTCCTACTGAGAGGTCTGCTTCCTGCTGAGAACTCCGCCTCCTACTGAGAGCTCTGCTTCCTGCTGAGAACTCCGCCTCCTACTGAGAGCTCTACTTCCTGCTGAGCTGAGAGCTCTGCCCCGTAAAGAACTTGGACAGTGAACGTTCGTCATCGGTCATAATCAAAATTGTGTTGTGTCAACCTCTCGCTTTGTTTGCGGAGCTGGACACAAAGGGGGGGTTGTAGGATAAATTAAAATGACCTCTTTCCTCAATCAAAGACATTTTGTTGTATACTGAGACATATTATAACTTCTGTCTCCACTGTGTGTAAATCCTTGTGGTTCAGGTTTTATTGTGGGCAAGAATGTTTTAAGATAAGTGCCATGGCAACACCCTTCCCCCAACGACTCTACAACAAGGGAAGACGAACCAGTCTGCTTTGGAACCACGGAGTGACCAGACCTCCCTGGGCTCTGCCCTGGGCTCTGCTCAGGCAGCCAAGGGGCCTGGGGCCTCTTAGATGGCCTCAAACCTCAGCTCCACGTTTGAGAGGACTTCCACAACCCTTCAATAGCCTCCAGCTTCA